CTGTGGTGTGCACAGAGCACATTCTAACTCTCCTCAGTGATTCAGAGATGTACTTGTCCCCTTGTGTGGCAGAGGGATGAGGAGACATCCCTGTGTTGCCTTGCCACTCGTCTGTGAAGCTAAAGGAATTTATTCCTGGCTGTGTCACAGGTTTAGCTGGCTAGGAAGGCACCGCTCGCTTTCCTCTTCCTGTTCAATGGTCACTAATGCATAAAACCAAGGGAAATAATAACCAACATGTTTTAGGTGACTCTGAGATGCCCTTTTTGAGTGTGTTAAGTCAGATCCCCGGATTAACTGAAGAGAGAGGCTCAAGCACACAGTGTGCTGCCACTCTAATCCTGTTTACACCCAGAGGCATTAGAGGATTTGCTTCTCCCCTAAGTGCACCGCAGCGCCTGCCCTAGGCTGTCTGGTTGTGTTCATTGGATGAGTTTTAGAAAGAGGCCAAAACTGTGGTCAGTTCTCTGTCAAAACCATAGTTGCAAAGCTGGCCTGTGGGGTTGTTGGTGGCAAATACTGTGGTGGCTGTGCTAGCTGACATCACTGGCTCACCAGCCCTCCTGCTTTGAGCTGGAGTTGGCTCCGAGGCAGCTCCTCCCTTTGGAAGTGACTTTCCAAAGGCCTTTTCTTGCCTCCTCCTGCATGCATTTGTCTCCTCTGCCTCAGTCTGTGGGATTTTCTCGAGGTGGTACTTTATGCATTTACTGTGTTCTTTCTGTTTGGTTACAGTCCTTGAATAACTTCTGCAGTCAGATTGGGGACGATCGCCCGCTGTCCTACTGCCACTTCAGCCCCAATTCCAAACTCCTGGCTACGGCCTGCTGGTAGGTTTTCTGTTACAGCACTTGCTTCAGGGGCTGGGAGAGCACAGCAAGAGAGACGGGGATGTTACTGGAGGCTTGTGAATCATGAAAGTTTGGAAGTGCTTTTGCTTCCTAGTCTGAACTCTTCACTTTGTAGAGCTTAGCAGAGATTTCAGTTTGAGTCCACGAGTTCGTATGGCTGATTGCCCAAGGTGTATTGGTGTTTTAGCCATAGCAGGACCCTCCGGGGTGGTTTTGCAGCTCTGTTTGATCTGTTCTTTGACGTTCTGTCTACGCTGACATCTATTTCTTGTCTTCAACAGGAGCGGATTGTGCAAGCTCTGGTCCGTGCCTGACTGCAACCTTGTTCACACCTTACGAGGTAGAGAGCGACTTTTCACTGAGACTCTTTGCTTAGTTCTTTTGCTCCTCTCTAGGTTGAGTTCCCGTATCTGAACTGCTTTGTGACTCAAAATGTAGTGTTCTTTATAAGATTTTAATCTAATGAGAGCATCACTCAGGCTTGCAGAGCATGGGCACCTGTCAGATCACCAAGAGAAGGTCCTGGCCTTTCTTTTAGAGCTAAGACCTGAGTTTGGTGTTTCTGTTCCTGAATGGTGTTTTGTTTCATTTCAGAACCTGGTTTGAGTTATTTTGAGCCAAATACCAGCATTTGATCACCACAGTGGTCACAACTTCGACTAAATACAAATGGGAGGACAAACCTCTTGATTAATGTGCTAAATTTTCACTACATTTTGAGGGCTACAAACCTTGGTGTTTGATTCTCTTAAGTGGGTGCTACTGGAAGTGCAGCGTAGCAGCTCGCAGGACAGATGTGTGTGGTAGTTACAGTGCAACCTCATCCAACGTGAGAGGGCACAGTGAAGGTGTTCACTGGTACCTGACTAGTAACAGAAATGCTGCTTTTCTGAAGAACTGGCCAAGATGATGTGGCAGGTTCTGAATTTTGATTTTCCTTTCTCTTAAGGCCATAGCACCAACGTAGGAGCAATAGTCTTCCATCCCAAAGCCACCATCTCCCTCGACAAGAAGGACGTTAACCTGGCCTCCTGTGCAGCTGATGGGTCTGTCAAGCTCTGGAGCCTTGAAAGGTCAGAAAGATACCAGCGTGCACAGCGGTTTATTTTGAGTTGGACACTGACCATCCTTCTGTAGTTACACCAGTGCAGTTCCTGGCCTCAGTATGTGCTACCTTC